AAAGGAAAAAGGCACAGGCCTCTTGTACACTTACCTTCCTCAATGTGAAAAACATTTAAACGGTTGACTTACTTGCCTCCAGAATTTTATTTTTCATTTGTGGGTTTATTTTTCCTAATGTTATGTATTATTTTCCTTTTTCTTAGTCCTATATTCCTTGAAACAGTGACTTCATTAGCTTGTTGGAGCATACCAGTGAGACCACATCAGCTATGCTACTACAAAACAAAGACTCGGACTGTATTAAATAAAACTGTAAATACTTGAAGACACATATACACACCCTGGTTTCAATGGTGTTTCTTACTAACTCACTCTTAACAGCAGACTCAACTCACCGGTGTCACTGCCCAAAATTGTCTTTGTAATGGTGACCTCACCCTAGTATCACAGTGACTGTTGGGGAAAGAAAGCAGCCACCACTTCCTGGTTCATTTTCAACAGCAAGCTCTCATTTTATTTGTTCATCCTTATCACTTCCTCTCACTCACCCCCACCCACATTCAATCCATCACAAGTCAGGCCAAGTGAGCTTCCAAAATATTCCTGAAATCCACCCACCTCTGTCCATCTCCACCGCCACCACCATAGTCTAAGCCATCACTATTGGCCACCTGGATTGTTGCAATGACCTCCCATTTTGTTTGATTCCAGGCTAGGCCTACTTCAAATTCTCTGCCCAATAGCCACAGTGATTTTTAACAAAGTAGGTCATACCACCCCCTGCTTTTAATACTCAGTGGCCTCCCACTGCTCTTAAATAAAGCCCTGCCTTCCTCTTCAGCCTCTCCAGCTTCCTAGGTTCCTGCCTCAGGACCTTGGTACAGGCTGCCCCTCAGCAAGCCCCTTTCCTTCACTTTTCACTAGAAGAATTCCTCTTTATTCTTCAGGTCTCTGCCTCCCAGAGGCTATTTGCCGTCTCCTTCTTCAAAGCATGTCCTTTCTGCTCTTTTCTCTTATGATATCCTGTTCTCTTCCTCCACAGTACTCGTCACCATACATGATTATTTATTTATGTGTTCTTTTGTTTAATGTCTATCTCTCCTGACAAGGCTCTGAGCTTCCTGAAAGAAGGGATCATGTCTGTTTTGGTCACCATTGTTTACACTGTATACCCAGTACCTAGCACACAGTAGATATTAAAAAATATTTATGAAAAGTATGGATGAACTTTAAAGACAAGAAAAGGAAAAAACCCAGAACTTTCCCCATGCTAACTGAATGTCTTACAAATAAAATCATAATCAAATAATAGCATACAAAATGTAAAGGAACATCTTGCACAGTACCAAAACAATGACGTTAAGGTAACTAACTTCCCCCTTCGTAGTCATTTCATTCCATTCTCATTAGCAGGTTAGGGTTTATGCCCGAACAGACAGAGAGTTGTCTTGGGCATTGAGCTATCAGTTTCCTACAGTGGAATGGGAGGGGACTGTGGCAGGGTGAGAGGTGGAAGGGTTTCCAGGAAGGCCCAATATTATCTTTAAGGGGAACCCCAAGAAAGGAAAAACTTCACCGCTCAAATTTTCCAATCTGTTATGACAAAACTAAGTGTGCTTAGGAAACCTAAAGATATGAGCACCAACTAAGGCATTTCCCTGCATCCAACTGTCCCAGAAAAACAACTCTCTAACCCTTATTTCTTTTCTTTTTTTTTTTTTTTTAAGCTGAGCCATCCTGCTACCTGTTGGCAGCTCAGCGGCTGCTCAGCTCGGGCTGGACTCGAACCNTGCTCAGCTCGGGCTGGACTCGAACCGCTGTTGCTCAGAGCTCAAACTCTTGAGCGAGCTCTTAACCAACTGAGCCACTCGGCCGGCCCTCCCTTATTTCTTTTTAATAACCCACATTTTCTTTGGCAACTTATTACAGCATCTTATTACACTTACAGTTCTTCAAAATAGCTAACCTTTATTAATATCCAAATTTTTTCATATACAAATTCCCTCTTAAATCTTAAAGAGATGTAAGAAAATGACTATCACTCACACTCTTCACATCTGGAAGGCTATTACAGTATTAAGTTTTATGATATTTAGTTACACAATGGCCTTCCAGTCACCAGCCTGAATGAATATTTATTTTAATCTGTCTTCAAAAGGTAATTTCCCCAAATGTTGATGCTCTTAGTATCCTAGAAAGATTTTTTTTAAAGTCAATCTAGGACCCCAAACTACATGAAATTAGAGAGTTGAGCAGAGAATCCTACATGTTAGCTACCTGATTCTACCCCTCAGATTCGTGACTGTTTTATGACCATGAGACTTAACTGATTCCCATTTAACCGAGGCCCAAATGAGAACCCAAGTCTTTAACAGCTAGTATAAGTGCAAAACCAATTCATTTCTATTTCTTCTAAACAAAAAGGGTTATGCACTCTTCCCTATTAAATGTATCCTATCTATATGTCAGCCTCTGGTGTTTCAAAGATGTGTGTCATCACACTAAATTTGAGGTCTGCAAAATCTGAGTCATTATAAAAAGCTTATTATCTTGGCTCCAAATATATGGTAGATGGGGGCTTATCAAGAGAATAGAAATATCAGCACAGTTAGCTCTTAATGCCTTGAGTTTCAGCTTCTGTACCCTTGCCAAAAGTCATATTCTATAGCAGCAATCTTTGTCAGATGAACATACACACACACACAAACCTATAGACCAAGATTTGAGCTTTTGTTTTGTTTCTGGTTTTAATATCTAAAGTATAGTCAAACCATTAATAACTGGTTCAAATGACTTTCCTAGCCCAGCCAGTTTCACTCTGTTAAAGATCCGTTTCTCAGTGTATATCTCATTCTCCAAATCTTAGCTATCCTAAGCAGCCAAGCGATATACCCAGGCATCAGACAGGCTTAGTTTAACTGGGTTCCCCCAGCACCTTGGAAAGTCCCAAGAAGTGACAGATGGAAAGCACGCTGTTTCACCTATTGCTAGAGGCGCAAAGAAGCCTTCCTTTGCAGTTATAAAAAAACCGTCAACTAAGCACCATTTTCCCACAAGCTGATGCTGTGACTAAGTAGTAATCAGCTCATATAACACAGACAGGAGTAACCATCTAGGTTTAGGGTTATACTGGAAAGGATGAGAGAAAAGGAAGATGCAGAGACTAAACCCTTCCTGAAATAGGGAGGTTTTCATTCTTCACCAAGCAGTAACAGAACCTTTTGAATCTATGCATGGGCCCCATTAATCCAGGAACCCAGAAACATCTTACAAACATCAATTAAGTTGCCCAACAAGTTCCATTTATAAATAGGGAAACTTGGGTGTTCAGAGACCGAGCAGCCTAAAGCCCAACAGTGAGTCAAGACCAGAGTGGGCACCAGACCCAGGAATCTGGAGTCCCCATCTCTGGCAGAGAGATGTGATTTATCTTTCAGGGGAATAAAATGCTCCTATATGAAAGAGATGGCAGAGACAGATAATAATATCCACACATCTTGGTTTGGGACCAGACAAAGGACTGCCAACAGTGACCAATTAAAGCTGGAAAGGAGGCCAACCCAAGGCCCCAAATAGCATTTAATCAAATGGAAAATTAGCATTCCTTCAGCCCCTCCTTAGCAAAGACACTGCTCACCTTATGGCTTGTAAGTTGATGCCATGAAGATACCCCATCCATCCTCACCTCAAGGCTCTCCTATTTTTATCTGATTTGAGTTCAGAAATGCCCATTCATCTTTGGCCAGATAAACGAATCAGGTATTACATTTGCAACCATGCATGCTGAAATTGAGCCTACCCTACAGAAAAGGGAGTCTGGTAATTTCAAACCCTCTGGCTTTTCGTGTCTCCTTCACAAGGGAAAGTTAAAATACTGTTTATATCTAAAAGACACAATGTGAATCAGTGTGCTTCATAAACTGTAGGGGCTAGGTGGTAATATGATTGGCTTGCATATTTAAGGTCCAGCAAAATAACCAATTAAGCTATGTGAGGCTAGCTTTTGGTATTCTAGATGAGCATAATCAAATGTTCCATAATCAAATGCTCCATTCCAAACACCTGTGAAAGAGAACAACTAACACCTTGGAGTGAACTGGGTTTCCCCAGCTTTCCCTGCAGGAGTGAGATGCGGTAACACAGAACTTTTGACTGGGAGTTACAGGTGAGCAGCTATCTGTAGGTAGCAGGACCAGAGAGAACTTGACAAACTTCAAAGAAAAACAATGCCTGCTTCCCAGTTCCACTTGGCCAAGGGCAGACCCCCGGCTCCAGCCATCACTGGGAAATCCTTACTAATTTGGGGCCCAGGGCAAACAGGGTTAATATTTTTCAGTCTGAAAGTTAAGACCAAGCTGTTCTAGCATTGTAGAAGATGGGGGCGGAGTAGGGGGGGGCAAATTCTCTTGCCAACCCCTTAAGCGGCTGTGAGGTGGGGGTGCGAGATGGTCATCACAGGACAACCTGCACGCCCCAGCCTCCACCTTCACCCACCCAGCACTGTAAGGTCCCTGCTCCTTCCCTGGTTGAGCTTCTAGGGCCAGGGAGTGTCAGTGGGTTTCGCTCCTCCAGTTAGTTAATCCTCACTGCGCTCTGGCCCAGTCCGTCTGAGCTTAGGGTCCAGTTCAGTGAAATACTCAGGAGGCTTTCCACATAAGCTAATGAGTGTACCAAATATACACACTGCCCACACTAATAATAACAGGAATTCGTCTGCCCACATGTATTTTCAATTCATCAAAAATTCGTTAAGTGCTTACTAAGTGCCAAGCGCTGAGCGACGTCCTGAAGATTCTAAAACTCCCCAGGTACCCCCACTGTTTTCAGAGCCCACATACTGGGAGAGCTGGGGTGGGACAGCCGAAAAGAGAAGTTGAAGCTAAGTGAGAATGCTACTCCTGGTCCAGGGGACCCCTCTTTAAAAGCCTCTCTCCGTCCGTCCCCTTGGGTCACAGCAGCACCGTGACTACAGCGCTCACTCTAAAAGGGTCTCCGCTCCCAGGCCACCCCGCACTGCCCGCCCTCCGCCACGGTCCTCTCCCCTGTCCCGCACTCACTGGGTCTTCCTGCGACCCTGATCCCGGTGCAGCTCTCGCAGGTCCACCTCCGCGCGGCCCAGGAACTTGTCGAGGCCAAGCAGCGCGCGGTGCAGCACGGTGAGTTGCAGGGTGGCAGCGGCCGCAGGCGCGGCCCCGGCGGACAGCAGAGGCGGCAGCTCGAAGGTGGCTTCCTCCCGCCACACCGGTGCACCCTGGCTGCGCTCCGACACCGAGGTGGCATACTTCTCCTTGCCCACCTGGATCACGGCGTACGCGTCGCTCGTGCCTCCGGGGCCCTTAGCCCGCAGACCCCGCGCCTGCAGCACTGTCACCTGCACGTGTGTTGGGGACCACACGGCCCCCGGGCCACGGCCCCCCGAGGCCGCCAGGGACATGGCGACGGCGCCGTGGTCTACCCGAAAACGTAAAGATGATCTCCGAGACTCGCGGCGTTTACGGCCCGCCCAGCCACCCCGGCCACTTTAAGGCTTCCGGCCACGCCCCCACCAGGGCCCGCCTCTCCACGCACGGCCCCGCCCCCGCGCCGCCCGCCCCACCTGCGCGACCCGAGCTCTGCTGCGCAAGCCCTGCAGGGCCTCCGGGAGCCGGGCGCGGGGCTGACGTGGCGAGGGTAGAGGCGGGGCTTGGAGAATTCTGTCCTGAGAGGTGGTAGGTGAGGGATCCCCAACTGCCACAGGTCCCATCCAATCGGAACTGGCTGAAGCTCTGCCTTAAGACTCAGACCTCATTTCCAATCTGGGATTGCCCACTGACATGTGTGTGACCTTGCACAGATTACTTAACATCTTTTGGTCTCAGTTTCTTCATCTGTGAAATGAGATAACAATCACCTCCTACAATTGTTGCAAAAAAATACTGGTGCCTGGCACGTGATTATTTCTTAATAAACCGTAGCTATGAGGGTGATAATAAACATGATCCCAAATTCACTGCTCTTTCTACTTTGGCCGCAGGGGTAATTACTTTGGAGGAAGGTGGGTTTTGGGATGGTGCCAGGTGGGTGGGAAAGGAGGAGGATCATTTGAGTCCCTGAAAAGGGGAAGGTAAAGTGGGGGGCAGGGCGTGAGGTCGTGGAGGTGTCCTATTTTGCCCTGCCCTCACCAAATAAGGTGAAGCTAAGAGGCTAAGTTAGGGAAGGGGAAGAAAGAAAATTGAGAGCGCGATTGCCAAACCAGACGTCAGGAGCAGAAGCTCTGCTCACCCCCAGTTCCCCATTTCTCCTGGCTGGGCCCTTTTGGTTTCCCCCTGTTCTTTATCTCTGGGCTCCCAGTTAGTTACTTCTTTGTTCCAAATGTCCATTTGATTTGCTTATTCCCTTCATTCCCAATATCCTACTTCAAAGGCTCAACTGCAGATCATCAGATTGAAAGGTCACTTTGAAGGTTTTTAGGTTTTACTGTTAAGAAAAGTCCCAGAGCAGAGAAATGACTGGTTCAAGTCCCCACAACAGAGCCAGAGCTGGAACCCAGGTGTCCTGACTCCCATGTAGTATTTATGCTGCATCCCTTGCTTCTTCCAGATCCTCAGAACCCCAGTCTTGGATTGCTACCTGTCTCCCCCTGATCTGTAGGCCTTCCTCCCTCCAGTCCACATTGCACGTTGCTATACTAACTAACCTGTTTGAAATCCTACATTGTTGCCTCACCTGCATTAACTGCATTAACTTCAGGCTTAGAGTTTTCAAGGCATTCCTATTTTGGACCCCACCCCAAATCATTCTCATCTATCTCCTGAACAAACTGTAGCCCAGGTAACCTTCCCACCTCCAGGCCTTTACTACTTGGCTGTTCTGTGACTGCCCTGCCAACCTCTCTATCTGCCCAGTCCTTCCCACTGCAAGGCTTCACTCAGATTTCTCTAAGGTTTGGCTTCCAATAGCCCCCTTTCAGGGCAGGGACCAGGTGATGACTTATTTAACTTGTCTCTTCCACAACTCCTAGCAGAAACCTGGGTACACAGTAGGTCATTGGGAATTGCAATGGAACTGAAGAGTTTGCAGGTTATTCCAGCTAACCATGAATACACAGTGTTTTATTTTACCATGTAGGAAGTTACAACACAGCCTTCATGCCTCAGGTTTGCAATTGAGGGCGGCTACCGTGTGGGAAAAGCCTATGTAGTATGTTGTAAATATTTAATGGTGATCGGAAGGGAAAAGGAAAGAAAGCACCAGACATGTAAATGTCTGGCAGACAGAACTCTATTGTTTTGGTGATATTTTCCCTTCCTGATGATCTTTTGACCTCATTCAACCTCATGGCTCCATTCATTATCATAAAGATTTATTGAGAACTTACTGTGTGCTAGGTGCTACCTCTAAATAAGACTGAGTTCCAAGGCACACTATGACAAATACTATAAAAGAAGTCCTGTATTAATCAAATGCTTTGGTTGCTTTGAGGACAAAGTGGCTTTTCTAAGTGAATGGATTCTTATGAAGGAAGTAGTATTGCCCTGGGTCCTAAAGGATGTATTAGATTTGATAGACAGAAAGGGGGACATGGGGAAGAGCGTTTCAGGAGAGAGAACAGACCAGCCTAAGCAAAGGTGTGGGGTCCAGAGAATTCATGGCATGTTTAGGGGTTATGAATACCCCATTGGGGCTGCAATGCGGGATATTTTAGGAGGGCACTGGGGGCAGGTGGTGGAGATAAAACAGCCAAGGTAGGTGGACCCAGATAAAGCAGACCATGAACACCAGGCTAAGGAGTTTATACCACAGTGTTAGACCAGGTGAGCCAGCTTTCAGAGGATTCTGAGCAGTGGCATGAGCAGGCTGTGCTTCAGGTTGTAAGGCAGGTATGACACAAGTAGCCTAGTAACCAATAGCATGGCAGGTCACAGCCAGATAACTTCCTTCATTTTCACTTGGGGACATCTGCCCCAGCCCTTACCCATCCTTGGTGTCTATTCTATGTAGGTACTGCCTTCAATAAGGCATATACTTCCTCCTTGGTTGTCCTACCTGCTCTGCCCCATTACATCCCAGCTAAACAAAATCAAGAATTTAGGGTCAAAACTGAGCCTGGGAGTAAAGATTTTCAGCTTTGGCCTGCCCTCCTCCCCAACATTCACTCTGTTAGTGCAGCCCTCAAAATAAAGAGAGCCAGTGCTGTGAGTCGCCGGCGACGGCAGCCCCTGTGGCAGTGGGTTGCCATGGGCTACCGTGTGTAGCCAGCAGCCAGCGTGAGCGGCCAGCAGCCGCGGTGAGTGGCCGTCTAGAAGCCGGCGACTGATCTGCCTCGCCTGGGAAGAGCGCAATGATAGTGCCAACTTGGGCCAGTGAAGCAACGTCCTCCACAACTAGACTGAAGAACAAAAGGACAGCAACTTGTCTGTTCCCCTTCCCCCAATTCCCCAATAAAAATCTTTAAAATAAATAAATAAATAAATAAAGAGAGCCAGGAATGAAACCAGCTGGACAGCCTCACCGACTGAGTATGGTATGAAGCCTTCCCTCCACTCATGGACAGGATTAGAGGGAAGAAGGGTGTGGGGGACACGGTGCTGGTGAAAGGAAACATTGTGAGCACCTTGTGACCTCATGTGTTTGGATTTCTGTTAGACACAAATAGGTTCTGTGATTAAAGCAGAGGTGGTGGGTTGGGAGAGGAGGGCAAGACTGCCCGGCTGCCCCAGAGAGACTGAGATCAAGGTCCTTCCCTTTAGACACTGGACACAGGCAGGGGTTAACTCAGAGGGGTGGGGTTCACTTGAGACAGGAATTGGACATTTGTCAGAGAAGAGAGACACCAGGAGCTCCAGCACAGGGTGTGTTTAGGAGCTGGCTTACTGCTCCCTAGATGCCAGGTGGTCCTTTTCTCCACTCCTCTGGCCAGAGCATATTGTCTGTCCCTCAAGACACACTCACTGACCGCCCTGGAGTAAGAGTCTGTCTTCTCTCCACTTTACAGACCCCCAGTCCTGGGGCGGCAGACTCTACAGGTTCACAGAATTCCAGGAGTGTTTGTAAAAAAAAAATCTCCCACAGCCAGGGTGCGGCCAGGTGACTGCTCTTTTCTCTCACCCTACTCCGCCCCTAGCTCTGACTGAAAGAGGAAAAGAGTTTCAGTCTGCCCTGAACACGTGGACAAGGCGCCTGGCAGGTTAGACTGGACAACTTAGCCACCTGTCCTCTCCCAAAATAGCAGAGCAGAGAGTGCCGGACTCCCAGTCACCAGCCTGGCCCTGGGCCTTTCTGCACGCAGCTCACACCTGTGCAGTTAGATCATGAGTGCAGATTGTCTTTTAGGCTCAGCTGGGAAGAATTCCCCTTTGCACAGAGCTAGAGCCCGATGCTAGGGGCGGAAAGGCAACACATGCCAGGGTAGAGACTTTCACTACCCTGCTAGCTGCCAAACACTCCTGATGACAGCACTTTAGTATCTCCCAATTGTAGGTACACTAACTCAAAAATCATCTCTGGGGACTCTGGATGGGCTAATGAGCTATTCCACGGGAGGAGCAGAAAAAGGCAAGAGGAATGGCAGTTTGTCTTTCTCCTTTGCCTCAGACTCTGAGGCGCGGTGACAAAAGTCCACACACATGACTCATTCACTCGGGCGCTTGATAAACAGCTCTCTGGCTTCTTCGGGGTTTTGGCTTCTCCAGGCACACTCCTCTGACCTAGGAGACTACCTTCCAGGTGTAGACTCTAGGAGTGAGGGCTTCCTGCCTCGTGGGCAGAGGATGGTCTCAACAGGCAAATGGCTTACTATTTCCCCTACAATCCTGTTGACAGTATTGCTCCGTTTACAAAGCTTGCATCATAGATAACACAAAAGTATTATCTTTCCATCTTGTCAAGTCCCTTCAAGAAGGCCCTTGAATCAATCCCACAACTAAAAAGCTATAGACATGCATACCGCTTACCTTCCCACTCTCTGCACAAAGCCTTTCCTCTGACTCTCTCTTCAGAATTGTTTCTTGTTTCCTAGCTTATTTCTTGTACTCTGATTCAGCCATTGTTTTATTCACTTGTAACATCTCAAAGGCAGGAAACGTGGTCCTCACCATTTCTAGCTCTCCCAATTCCCTGCAAATAGAAGGTAGTTCAAGTTGAGTAGAAGAGATACAAATGGCATAAGCCATCAGCATGAATCCATTTAGCTCTACTACTGCCACTTTAGCACTACCCTGTATAACCATCTTTATTTTTTAATATAAAGTTTATTTTGTCTGATTATAAAAGAAATATGTGCTCATTGTATATGCAAGCCATACTCCACCTTTCCAGAATCAGTTTTATGGCATACAGGGGGAAAGCAGAAGTTTTGAATGTCTATTCCTCTGTGAATTGTCCCACTGGAAGCTCCCGTTCAGAATATTATTCTCTTCCTGGCCTCTCCCATACATGCCATGAGCCTCCACTTTCTCAATTGCTGGTACTTCTGAACACAGACCCCACCATAGCAGAGCTGGCCACGAGATGGGTGTGGCAAGACCCACCATCCCTTTACT